TATTTTTGGGGGATACTGTAGGCGGTGGCCAACGGTATTATGTTTGTGAAAACAGAAGGTTGATTACTTTTAAGAGGTCTATTGATTCTGAGAGAGGAATCGGTTATTTTAATAGATACAGTATACCGAAACACTTTGTGATTTATCACACTCTCGTACTGGTATGTCTTATTCTAATTAAGCAACCTTAGCTCATTACAAGGGTTTTTTGTTTGTCTATACAGACTTCCAGAAAGTGTCTAGTCGGCTATTAATATCCCAGCTTAATAAGGGTGCCTAAGTTCGCTATAGGTGTCATAATTTCGTCAGGCATTTTGTGATTGCAGAATGTATTACATAGATGGAATACACAACAACAATTGCGATACTTTGAAATTTATGAGGATTTAAGATTATCGTTATTTTATCAATGATTTCGGTAATTATAAAAATAATTTGTAACTAAGAGAAATTAATCAGAGATTTGCTAAAATAATATTTAAGAGACATTCATGTATAGTTTTTATGCTGGCTTGATAAGAGTGTCTAAATAGACTTCTAGCTTTTACTGGCTCTTTGGCAAGTAAGTAGGCTCAGTTAACTGGCCCTTGGCAATCGTTAACGCTGTTACTGGCTTTTTGGAAGTGTCTAGTACGGGACTAGTAATAGGCAACATCTAAAATAATAGATTATCGATTTGCATCTATAACGATAATTTACATGCATGGATATTATGTACGTACAGTACGTAGTAATTAAATATTGTTTTGAGTTACTTTATTAAATCTCGTACTCTTTTGAATGTAAAAATCTCGTACGTACGTACGTATTCTTTTGAATGTGTAAAAATATATTTGTATAAAAAAAAAAATATAACTGTGTGATCATACGTAATACGTAATCAAGGTGTAAAATATAGTATACATATAGTATATATACATATATATAGTATATATTTACATAACTACGTACGTACGTACTTACGTAGTAACGGTAAATTAGAGTTGCGGAACTCCTTTTTTTGGAGTTTGTATTACTCGCGCAAATAACCATAGTAAGGCGTAGTACAGATTTGAAGAAATTTTACTTCTATTGTTAACAATGTCTTTCAACGATTTAGAAAGAGGAGTAGGATCAACAAATGGTCGAAGAAATTATGGTGGTGTCTCACCTCTTTCGGGTGGTATGCACATTCTTTATGAGTATAAAGAATTCAAAATTGTAAAACCAACTTCGTTTTAGACATTATAACGAAAGTAGAAAGGTGGAAAAAAAAAGTTACAGTTATGACTAACCTGATGCTAAAATTATATATATTTTTAATATTATAGACGAAGACTCGCAATATAAAAATTTGAGTAAAAATATATCCCAACAGGTTTTTGATATTACCAGTAATGTGGCGACGATACAAAGGCTAGTCAGTTATCTTGGAACGGCGAAAGATACTCCTGAAGTAAGATCCAAATTGTAAGTCAAAAAAAATTTATTATGTTGCCTTTGATTTGTTAGAAAACTTTCTCACTAAGACTATTATTTGATGATGTAGGCATTCATTAACTGAAAAAACACAAAAATTGGTAAAAGACACAAGTGCAAACATCAAAAAACTTACACATTTTGAGGGTACTAGTAATCAAAATGTAAGCATAAAGACAAATTATTAATAATTTGTTAACTTTTAATTTTCATTCATTTCATTCATTTTCATTTGAGTTGACTATATATTTATTTCATTTTTCAGCGTCAACGAAAGCTTGAACAACAAAAACTTTCAAAAGATTTTCAAAAAACGTTAACAGAGTTCCAGAAAGTACAAAGGCTTTCAGCAGAAAAACAACGTGAATATGTCGATAAAGCAAAGGCGCATAATGTCCGAAATGACGTATATGAAGAAGATGATGCTGTTATTCATGAAGCACAGCCTCTTATAAATGACAATCAACGACGAATTCAATTTCAAGTTTTAGAAAATGAGGTCGAATATAATGAATCATTAATCGCAGAACGTGAAGGTGAAATCAGGGAAATCGAACAAGGACTTAATGAATTGAATGAAATTTTCAGAGATTTAGGAACATTAGTATCAGAACAACAATCGATGTTAGGTGGGTTGATTTTTTTGATTTATATTTAAAAATATCTACAGATTACTGATTTTAATAACTTTCCTATATACTTATAGATAACATTGAAAGTAATGTGACAAACATTTCCATAAATGTTCGAAGTTCAGCTGATGAATTGAGCAGCGCTAGTAGACTTCAAAAGAAAGCACGTAATCGTATGTGCTGTCTCATGCTTATTTTTGCTGTAGTGGGTGGTGTTGTAATTTTGGCTGCTCTGGCGTAACTAGGGTTTCGGCTCAAATTTTTTTTTTTTTTTGAATTATGACATTCATACATAGTTTGGGTTTTGAAATTGGAATTTTACTTAACTTTTGTTCATAATTAAAACCCAAATATATATCCCATTTTCGATCAATAATTGTTCAACCCAATCAAATTGGTTAAAATTAATGTTAATAAATTCTACATATGTGTATTTAGTATCCAAACTAATAAGTTTGGGGCGCAACCCTAGGCGTAATTATTGACTTTGTTTTGGTTGCAAAGTAAGAGAATGAATTAAAATTAGTATTTATATTCATTCTCTTTTTTATTTTATTTTATTTTATTTTTTAAACATCGCATTTAAATTGAAATTACGGTACCAAACAAGTTGGGCTTTGTGGTATTTTTATTTTTATTCATTTCGAGTGGTTGTTTTATTCTTATTTCCAGGCCAATCATTTTTATTTCATGTAATTAAATACATATATTTTTTGCATCAAACATTCTTTTCTAATTCTTAATTGTTCGGATTCTTCTTGTTTAATAGTAATTTCGTAAAGTTGTTTTATTCTTGTATTAGCATGTAAAGGACGTGAGAGATAAGTTAGGCCGGAATTTTATACTATGTTTGACTATTTTAATATATTATTTTCAGAGTCTAACGTATATATTATAAATTGATCATATACTATAAATCGATTTAGCTTTTGCCAAACCCGGTGGTTCCGAACTCAAATATCCTTCTGGCGAGCTATACATTTTATCGGTTGACAGCACTTATTCAAAAATATATTGTTTTAATTACGATACACAAGAATACATAACGTACAGTATTTGTAAAGAATAACATAATCAATATTTCATTAACATTTTTAAATATAAATTTATTAATTCATTTCCTAATCATTTGATATTGCTTTGTTAGTAATTTAAAGTGCTTACTCTAAAATTAACAGTATTTGTAGTAGATATGAGCAGTAAAACATGATTTGACACAAGGTCCAAAACTAATACAAAAAGTTCTAAACTTAAATTGTATTGGCGCAAAAATTTATAACTATATATATAGTAATTTTGGCATCTTGTTGACTTCTAAATACGTTACAAAAATAAAGTACGGTCAAAACAAATTACTAAATTACTATGCTATTTTTGGTTATCACAACCTTTACTAATGAAACGTCTTAACTTAGTCCGCGTAATTAATGAAACAAATACCGATTGTATTAATCTGCAAACCATGATTATTGAATTTGTATCTATTTTTAAAATTTTTTTGGGGGCCTTTTTTGTCAAAAGAGTATAGGTGGATTTTGGTAGGGGTTAAAATTTTAGCATTCGTGACGATAATTAATACGCAAGATTTACAGTATTAAACTAATATTGTTAAAATAACAAGTTACGTAGTCAATATACATATTTTTTAAAAAACTTATGTATATTATTTTTTTCTGTATATAAGTAAGATTTTTATCTGTATTACCTTGCAAGACTTATCATGCATTTCATTTTTATGAAATTAGTACCCTAACCAAAATCAGTCAATTAACTCATGTCACATGGCCTAAATGCGTTCAAAGTATGCATGTACGATAGAGTATCAAGTTCTTAAAGTCTTATTTTTAGCTATTTTAATC